GGGCACTGGCTTCAATCTGTGTTACAAGTGTAATGTGAGGCCCTAGGGGAATGTGAAAGGCATGAACAGGGGGGAAAGTCCACTTGAGCACTGGTGGGAATTCACAGCAGGCCAACAGGAAGGAGGCTCAGGAAAGGCCTCAGTATGAGCCGCGCCTAAAAGAACCAGAAGGGCTGGACAGCGAATCAGGGGCTTCGTGGGAAGGGGCATCATGGGTGTGGGCTGAGGGCAGGGCAGTATGGACTGAGCTGGAGCAGGGGGAGGGCTGGGCATGGGCTAGGAAGGCTGGGAGGAAGGCCGCTGTCTGGGGGTCTTCACAGGCTCTCTGCCTGATCCAAAGCCAGCCTAATCTAGCTCCGCTGTGGAAGTCAGGAGCCAGTGGGCCCAGCTCCTTCTCCCGGCAGCTTCTGCCACCTCAGGGAGCTCCCTGGAGGCTAAGAGAGGGTGCGAGAGAGCAACAGTCTTGGGGCCTGACTGTACTAGTGGGTGTCTGCATGCTGGCATGTCATCATGGCATGCCTTTCTTCGAGGACACAGGCACTGGCCACCCTGAGGCTCCCCTCACTCCACACGTGTGTCAGTTTTTGCGTGTGTTGTGTTGTGTTAAGTATCAGTGAAGGTTTCTAGAGACTGTGGAGTTGGCATGTTTGTGCAGATGGTAGTATCTGGGGCTTGCGTATTTGGGGGGGGTATATGTACCAGCACGTGTGTGTTGGCCTGTGTGTCATGAGTGATGGGGTGTCTGTCTGGTGGGGAACATGTGGAGGATGTGTGCAGCGAATGTGCATGAGAGAGAATATCTAGGTTTTGACTTTATGTTTGTGTGCTGGTGTCCAATCTTTGACTGACTGCTTGCTAAGTTAAGAGGAAAAGTGTCGATTTTAGGATGTATGTGTGTCTGTGATTCTGGGTCTCTATCTGGTGGCCTGGTGTGTGTGTAGGTGTGTGTGTGCGTGAGTGAGTGAGTGAGAGAGAGGGAGGGAGGGAGGGAGGGAGAGAGAGA